GCGTCGGCGTAACCGCAACCCTCGTAACCCTCGTGAGGGTTACGAGGGTTACGAGGGTTAATCTCATGAGGGTTACCCTCACGAGGATCACGAGGGCCACGAGGGTTACTTACCCTCGTAACCCTCACGAGGGTTACGAGGGTTAGTTACCCTCAAAAGGGTTACCTTCACGAGGGTTACCCTCACGAGGGTTACTTACCCTTGTAACCCTCACGAGGGTTACGAGGGTTAGTAACCCAAGTGAGGGTAACCCTCGTGAAGGTAACCCTTTTGAGGGTTACGAGGGTTAGTAACCCTCGTGAGGGTAACCTTCACGAGGGTTACCCTCACGAGGGTCACGAGGGTTATGAGAGTTACCCTCACGAGGGTTACTCACCCTCGTAACCCTCACGAGGGTTACGAGGGTTAGTTACCCTCACGAGGGTCACGAGGGTTATGAGACTTACCCTTACGAGGGTCACGAGAGTTACCCTCACGAGGGTCACGAGAGTTGCCCTCACAAGGGTTACTAGGGTTACCCTCACGAGGGTCACGATGGTTACCCAGGTCGTGACCCCCCCTGGGGTCACGTGACCTGGGGATACCCCCCGAGGTCACGTGACCCCCCCGTTGACGTCATAGGCACTGATGACGTCGTCAGTGACGTCACTGATGACGTCACCGGCATCCGCATCGTCATCGTCATCATCACTGATGACGTCATTAGTGACGTCACTGATGACGTCACCGGCATCCGCATCGTCATCATCATCACTGATGGCGTCATCAGTGATGCTACTGATGACGTCATCCGTATCGTCACGTGGCCCCGGGTCACGTGACCCCCCGACGTCACGTGACGCCCCAAGGTCACGTGACTCCCACAAGGTCACGTGACCCACAAGGTCACGTGACCCCCAAGGTCACGTGACCCCCCCGCCCCCCGAGGTCACTTGACCCACCCCCCAGTACCCTTCCCTCCTCCTCCTCAAGAGCTGCGCTCTAATTCGGCGTTACAGGGAGTTGTAAACGGCTTTCATTTTTTTATTATCGGCATTAGTTGAGAATGCGGCGTCCCACGGACGTAATATTTTGGCTGGGATCGTATTTTGTGTCACTACAGCAATACCAGTAATTAATTTCATTTTGAGTTTTGGCGGGAGTTGCCCATTCAGCTATGCGAAACGTCACGCTTGCATTGCCTAATGTCACAACACAGACTGCGTCTTTTGAACTAAACATGTTTTGGGCATCGTCATTCGCTGAACTGTCTCTGTAAGCCGCGGTGATTGGCCCTCTGAGTGTTGTGCGTTAAAGTAGGCGTACGGGCTTTTTTTTAGAGTGCACCGACCACTACCGTTACTTCCGGTTTCACTTGGGATTTTCTCGTTTGGCCGGCTTGAGCCGGTATGTCGCTTTCTTTTCTTCATACATCCCTGCCGCTTAGTGACCAGCTCCGATGGCATGGAAGTAGTAAGCTTCTTGGGGCGACATACCGACACCAGAGGTAACGCCGGGGAAAAGTTTCGGTTTGGAAGGACAAGCCCGCAAGGATGACCAAAAACGGACAAATCCAAAAGACGCTATTGAGCAAACCTGGGCGCCCTGAGCAGCGTCGCCACCTACCTCGACCTCTACTTCCCGCTTCGCTTGGGATTTTCTTGTTTGTCTGGCTTGAACCGGTATGTCGCCCCCTGTTCTTCCCACCTCCATCTTCGGTGGGCTGCGCCCATTTGTCACCAGTGAAACAGAGGGTCACTAAAGCACACTAAGAGCCGCAATGTCCCCCATGCACTTTCTTTGTTGTTCACGCTCTATAGGCGGAGAGCAATCGTCTGCTTCTTGCTCAGGAGGTGCAGTAACGTCAAAAAGGCGCTGAGCTCCGATTGGCTCTTATTGAAGGATAGTGGGTAGACCTCAAAGCAAGCCGCCTGGATGTCTACTCACTATCTTTCATTCAGAACCAATCATAGCTCGGCGTTCTGACGTTACCATAACCCCTGCAAAAGAAGCAGACGAACTTGCGCTGCGCCTTGTCACTGGGATCTTAATGCCGAATTCCACTGGGCGTTTTAGAGCGCGCCGGGATCAGTTGACCAGATTCGGAATGGAGCACACGATCCGAACGGGGTCGCGCCGCCTACGGATCCCCATTGGAACATGACCACTGCTCCCGGATCGGCGGATGCCTTCCCGTCATTCACCTGCCCGGAAATCCTCTTTCCGCGGCCGCCGCGGTCGTTTCGAAGACGTTTTCGCAATCGCGGCGCTAACACGTGTTCGACGCAAGAGCGGCAGGAATGGCTCAGGAGCTTCTAGAAAAGATTGCCTGAATGCCCGTAGCGCGGCAAAACCTTCTCCTTCTAGGAAGGCGAACCGGCTGTCGAGCCAAGGGGTAAGCAAGCGGCCATTATGAATTCTTCTGAGGCGAGATGGGCCGGACCAGGCGAGATGCCCGCGAGAAAGGAAGTCACGTGTGTGCGCCGAGGGCTGGCCGGGCTGGCTTCCGGTTGAATCCGGCGAAATCGTCGGAGCGACTTTTCTCGTATCCAGATCGAGATCTGGAGCTCCCGCTCCAGATCGAAAGTCGATCCCGGCGCGAAAGTCGATCCCGGCGGATCCAGAAAAGTCGATCCTGGCGCGCTCTAAAACGACCCGTGGAATTCGCCATAAGAAACGTTGAACTTGGCGGGTTATGCGCATCTCATTACCGGTTCCCATTTAATAAGATTCCAGCATTCGCCGACCAAAATTACAGAAAATAAATCACTAAGCAAAAAGCGTTGACATAATAAACCGGACACTGCGCCTCTTAAGGTGTGAGATACTGCGGACGTTAATGCTCTTCGTAGTTCCCGCTCATCGTCGGTCGTTTCTCACTGACTGCGATTGTACAGGCTCCACCAGTGTTAAGGACCCATCCGACAATGCAGTTTCACGTGACTGTGGAGAATTTCCTTCTGCCGCATTAACTGTCCAGGCAAATGGGTCTTTGACATTGTTGGGGCATGTGCAAGCACGCGGAAGATTTGCACGACGAATGGGACTTCACGCTGACAAAGCCTACACCGCGAGGACTCTGTAGCATTTTCTACTTTCGTGTAAAACACATAGGAGAGTCAGTCGCTGCAGTCCACTAAAGAGAGCTCGGTGAATCACATCACTGCATACATCTTCAGACCTAAGAAGGTACAGCCTGCGCTGTGACACCGAACGTGGCGAAACGCAATGCTGAGGGTCCACAGAACAGACCGTTTTTATGGGTTAAAACATACTTTAAGCCTCCTCAGTCGAGGAGCTTTCTCTGTAAATTGCAGCGGTGGCTCTCCTGGGTACTTTACGAAAAAAGTTGATGCACCGGATTTTTCAGACTGCACTCGGTCGTTGTCGTTGACGATCCTTGTCTTCAAGGACGTTCGGCGTTCGCAATCATCATTACTTGGCTACCAATAACCGCGATTGTACAATGTTCAACAATAAAAAAGACATTCGACGAGGAGGACTTAGGTTGCTCTGCAGGATGAACTTTGGTCAAGCACACATTTCTAATAAATGCATGCAAAATCACTTTGCTGCCGAACACGGAGGCAGCCAATCACGGCAAACAAGAGAAGGCTCCGAGCAAATGGCAAACCTCAAAATAAAATTAGAAAAAAAAATTGCCACATGCGCGAGGAAGTTCATCATGACGTTTCATTTGCTTATTATCCCGGCGGACGGGGAAGTTTTCAGACTTAATCGTATGCTGAGTTTCGTCAATCGCTGGGACTCCTCTAGTGTTCGCCACGATTCGAACTCTAGATTCTGCAGTAAACGTAATGATTTTTACAACACAAAATGCTTTTTACCGCAACCCCCCCCCCCCCCCCCCCAATCCCATAATATTGCCCGTCCTTGCATTTCACGCTAACATTAGCGGGGTAGTCATTGAGTTTCGCAGATCGCTTTCGCCGTCGCGCAACGCTGTCCGCTAATTGGTAAGATACCCGGAACTCTACAGGCAAGGCCAACGGTGCGCAGACAAAGTAGTAGCTTCTTCGTTGCAGTGGGCTTATCGGAGGGGCAAGCACGGTCTACGAAAACTCTCTTTTGATGCCGCGTCACTTACACACGCATTCAGTTTTCCCACTAAATATAGTCTGAAATTTGAGGTCACGTGACCTTACGTTACTGGAACCACTGGCGAATTCAATTCCCTTCTAAATTTATTGGAAAATTTGAGGTCACATGACCTATGCACGAATTTAGTTTCCCCCTAAAATTGGCAGGAAGATTGATGTCACGTGACCTGACGTTACGTGACCTTACACCAGTCGAGTTGGCCCGCTGAATTTGGCGCGGAAATTGATGTCACGTAACATTACGTCACTTTAACTAAACACCAATATAGTTTCCCAACTAACTTTAGCGCCAAACTTTACGTCGTCACGCGACCAGACATCACCTTACCTTTACTTTTTTTTATATGCACATATTGGTGCCACGCCACCTCTACTATGCAAGTCTGTATATGGTCTTCTAACGAAATTAAAATGATAACTCCTTAAATACTCCATTTGAGGCATTGTGGGACTTAAAAGGTAAATGTCGCGATGTCAATTGATTAGACTCTGGTTCAAATCCCTATCCCCTCTCTCAAAAAAAGAAAAGGTGTTTCTGGCCAACGTGTGTTTAGCATCACCATTTAAACTACCTCGACGAATGATTCTTATAAACTCTGAAAGACCATAGTGACTGACAGTTCAGAAACAGAGAACGTGGATTCTAATGTTGACGTTCCTTGCCCTGTGATTCGTTCTTTGTCTTTCGCATTGGCTCAAGCTACAACCTCATTGGCTGTGTAGCAATCATAAGATATACTCAAGACTGACCGATAAGAAAACGGGAGGACAAATCACGAAACAAGGAGAGTGACCCTGGGTTTTTTAAGCTATAGCTGGGTCACCAATATTAGGTACAATCGTACGAGATATTCGCGAGATGAAGGTGACTCGTCGCGGGCGATCCGATCCCCCACTCACCCGTGACGAGCAGCTGAATCTCGTTCTTCTCCTCAGCGCCGGCGCCGTTACTGACGACGCAGACGTAGGTGCCGCTGTCCTGGACCGTGGCCCTCCGGAGGACCAGCGTGCCTCCGACCAGCACCAGTCGAGGCTCGTTCATAGGCAGCTGTGGCATGAGCCGCCCCCCGTACTGCCTGTACCAGCGATACATGGGCTGGGGGTGGCCCTGGGCTTCGCACGGAATGAACACCGCCGATCCCTGCGGCCCGTCCACCTGCCGGCTCCAGTGGATCACCTTGGCCGGAATGCTGGAGTGGGGCTCTGCGATGTGACGTCAGATAATAATTATATTAATGTTTTTTTTTTGTTTTTTTTTATTCACTTCCTCAATACATATAAAGAATGCTAGCCTACAAAAGCAGTATCCTGCTTGTATGTATAGGACCAGTATGCCTTTTAGAAGGCGGTAAGAATCAGGTGATAGCGTAGATCGGAAAACACACGTGGGCACAAAACCGCTTAGCGTCGTCACCGTAGCAACTGTCGCTGACGTTGTGACGTGGCGGCGTGGCATGCGGTCACGTTAGAGCATCAGCGGTGGCTGGTATGGTTACGCCGCTCGTCGGCACGATTCGACGCGGTGTTTGCTCACGCGTGTTTTCTGCTTATGCCTGCAAAAGACAGCGAGGAGGACACTTTTTGGGAACAGCTGATCGTAAGGACGGTTAAGTTTGTAGAGCATTTGTATGGACGTCGTGCGATCAGACACTATACGTTATTTTCATCTGGAAAGGCGCAGTACGGGGAGTTTGTGCACAAAGTATCGGGATAAGATCAGTTTCCTACCTTTAAAAATGCTGCAAAAGAAAAAAAAAAAAAGACGCGTCACGGTTTTTAGTTGAGCTGCGGCAGCACAGGAAGTCGCCTATGTAAATTAGCCTCTGCTTTGAACTTTTGTTTTTAATAGCAGTTGTACTTCTACTGTTGCAGCATCATGCCTAAGTCATAGGAGTATTGCTTTATTAACTAATATTTATATTTCCCTACTTTTACTGCCGCGTTAATTTACATTATACTGGCGAAATATGAATAAGAAAATGACACCTCACTTTGTTGCATAAGTGTCAGTGTATGAAGAAATTAACTACAGGTACCTGTGGTGCCGGCTGCAATAGAGAGGTGAAACGCAGGTAAAGTGATTGCCTCCTAAGCCACCTACCTTTATTAAGGCGAAAGCCTTATATGTGTATCGTCGTTCAGTCGACCTTGAGAAAAAGTTCGCGATACGAAAGGTCCTAAAACACGCCAAAAGTACGTTGTCAAAGAGCGCGCTGTCTTCTGAGGTTCGCCTTCACCGGTATTACAGCCGATGCTACGATTTGAATGAGCCAATGAAACGGCGCCAAAAGTGCGTAGTCAGAGAGCGCGCTGTCTAAGCCTGTCTTCCAAAGTCCGCCATCACGTTTACGTGACCACTCAGGCGAATTAGGGGTAATAAAAATAGGAAGTATGACAAAGCGAATTAAGGGGAATCAAAGCAAATTAAATAAATAATGTGTCTGTCTATAATTCATCGGCGCTTGGGCTTTCGCCTTCAAGTCGTCTTAGGCATAATGTAAGAGACCCTGCGATTTTCGCGCATAGACGCCCTATTTCTCTTATGCTCCTTGAAGTTCCAGGGTTTTATACTGCTTCTTGAAATACGCTTGAAATTTTAGGGAAAAGTCAGGACACATTTTGGGACAAAGTATCAAACAGAAAACATATATTGTGAAATATAGAAAATGTTTTTATCCTTATGTTAATTTTTAAGTCACTGTGTCGCTTTCTCCCCCCCCCCCCCCCCCTTTTTTTTGTCCTCCCTCCCACTTTTTAAGAAGTTTCGGCATTTTTATTTTTCTTGTCTTTTTTTGGTCGAGACTTTGCTTTTGTGAGCTCACCTGTTATGACGAGCTTTCCTGCCGTGATGCTGCTGGTCACCGCTCCCGTCAGTGTATCCTTGGTCTGACACTGGAACGAGTGGTGACTGTCTTCTGGTCCCGCTCGTCGAACGTGCAGCTCTCCCGTCGAGAAGGCCACGTACTTGGAGTTCTCGTCTGCGGTGGCCGCGGCAGTCCAATGGTTTAGTCATTGATCTGTACACAGTCGCTCATGACTAAGGTAGCTGAGTCTTAACTTGAAGCATCTTTCCAATACAAGGCACTACCTGCTATCCATGCATGCCGGCCTAATAAATTCCAGGACGTGTAGAAACTGGTAGAATTGGTGGCTATCTACTGGTGCTAAACCGGTCAGCTGTCTGGCTGGAGAAACTCCAGCAAAGGTTGCATGCGGTTGTTTAGCGAGTTTTTGTTAGGGCATAAAAATAAAAATAGTTTTCTACTGTGTTTGACTACTCACACTTAAACATTGCAGGCACTCCGTTAAATAACTATAATTTTATTTATACATTTGAACCGATTTTTTACTGTTATTTTGTCTTGAACATGCCTGGAATCTCGTACAGGATGCCCGCCATAGTCAGTCTTCTTCAAACAGAAAAAAAAAATGGTTTTCCTAAAATATTTTTGTTCTGTAGAAATTAAATACTTGTAATATTTAATTTTTTTCGATTGTATCGTTCACTATAAATGTTTTTTTGCGTTTAAAACAAAAAAATTAATTTACACGGATGTTTTTCTTTTGTCAGCCTTTCGCCACGGTTACGCCGCTTGAATTTGCTAAAAACATTGTGCCGTAGCTAACCGATATCACATGAGAGACAAGACCTGCAGATGACGTCATTAATAGTGAATCTCCGAGCCGCCCCCAAGTGGCAAACAGGCTGAAGCTTGAGGAGGACACTCGCAAAGTGCCTGACGCGTCCGTCTTAACGTCGCGGCGTACACGCGCTGCACTCGTGAGACGCTAGGACGCGGCGACGCAATGGCGGACGGCTTCTTCCGCTGTGCGGCGACTCTCGCCAAGCATCAGCGTGTCTGCCAGTTGGAAGATGCACTAAGATTGCCTCCTATGTGTTGACAAAGCCTGGCAGATCACCACGAGAAGCGGCCGCCAAATAGAAAAGGTGGGGCGGCACACAACGGATCAAGGGAGAGCCACGTGACTGGCGCCCCGCTGCGGCGAGGCGCCAAAATACACTTCTTCCGATCGAACAAACGTGTTTTTGGTCTTCGCCGCTGCAAAAGCCCTGCGCTAACGTCCAGGTTCGCCTAGAAAGAGCTATTTGTTGCTCTGTGTTGCCAGATCCTCGGGCTCCAAATCTGCGACCGGGCACTCTATGCCTCCGTCTTCGAACTGCCCGGCTTTGTGAGTATAGAGGAGGCTATGGCACTAACAACGACGTTTTGGGGAGAGGGGAGAAAGGTGGAAACCTTGTATTCCAGGCAGTATGCGGAGCGCAAGTTCGTCTGCTGCTTGCACGGGGTTGCGACGATGTCAGAACGCCGAACTCTTATTCGCTCATTGAAAACGAAAATGGTGACCAGACTAGACTTCGAGGCATCTAGCATTGAGGTCTACCCACTATCCTTTTAGTCAAAGCTAATCGGAGCCCGGCGTTGTTCTGACGTCACCGGAACTCCGGTGCAAGAAGCAGACGTCTTTCTGTCCCCATTGATCTAGCGCAACTTTATTGTTCCATCCATCGACGCAATGCGGAGCGGAAGTTTGTCTGATTATTTTGCAGGGGTTGTGATGACGCCAGAGCGCCGATCTCTGATTGACTTCGATTGAAGGATAGTGGGTAGACCTCAAGGCATGCTTGCTTTGAGACCTATCCATTATCCTTCAATCAGAGCCAATCAGAGCTCGGCATCTTTCTGACGTCACCGTAACTCCTGCAAAAGAAACAGACGAGCTTGCGCTCCCCGTACGTGTCATTGCCACTGACTGCCATGTGAAACGTAGCTTTACGTAGTACATCGTTTTGCACACGGTTGAACGAAAACTTTTATTTATTTTCCAGAATTTGGTGGTTTAACGTAGACCAACGAGGCGTGTTGCTTTAGTTGAGGAACGCCGAAAAGGATACGAAAAAGGCGGGATGAGGGACGATGTACAATTTATTTTGATTAGCAACGGAGCAATAAAGCCATAGCGAATTTTTTTCGAAATCACGCCCATTAGTCCGGAATTACACGGATTATTATTTTGGTGTCCCTCAATCGGTAATAGTCGCTCCTCCAATCTTTTCTTTTCGTTTTCTACGTGAAAACTTTCTGACTAGTTGCTCCGGATTTCGTAAAGACGCATATCGTGAAGTTGTATTTTCTGAAGCCGCGTTTTGTGAAGCCGCATTTTGTGAAGCCGTGGCCTATGACGTCGCATGACGTCACGTTTACTTGCTATATTTAACGGGAAAATCGACGTCACGTGATCTCAACACTAATTCAGTTTCTGCTACGTTTAGCGGGAAATGACGTCACAAGACTTCGTATCACGTGACCTATAGACAAATTCAGGTTTTCCGATAGATTTTCCGGGAATATTGACGTCACGCCATTACCATACACTGCGGACACGGGCTGACCCGACGGGGAAAGTCAATGGGTGAATGAGTCAATGTGGTGAAGAGGATTGATTGGAGTCATTGGGGCCGAGAAGTGTGGAGAGACCTGGAGGAACAGCTCAAGTAGAACTGCCTGGATGTTACTAGCACTAAATCAAGAACGTTTCACGTAGCAGCACACTAGACCGATCTCACTAAGCGTTCCACTCATGCCTTATGTCACAATAACATTTCTTCATGAGGGACAGTCACCGGCGAACGAGATGGCTCGTGCCGTGTCTTGGTCGACTCGTGCAGAGCTCCGGCGGGGTTGTTGCGAGTGCAGAAAGACTACAGTTTCATGATCCTTGCCGGTAGCGACGGCGTAACCAAATTAACTTTTGAGATCAATGTATTGCACAGCAATTTGCTATGCAAATATTCCTTTCATTCGTTTTTTTTTCTTTTTTCGGGAAAATCACAATACAGGTAGAAATGTCTTTTTTTTTTTTTTTTTTTTGTAATTCGAGGATTTTAACAACCGAATCTAAATCCACAGCGAAATACTGTATTTCTGCATGAATATAAGCACACTAGTAGAGAGGAGCTGGCGTGCTAGTCGTTTGCACTTCTGCAATCTATCCTAAAAGAACAGTTAAAAGTCAGCTTATTCTACTACTGCGCGTAGTACCCGTAATGCTCTCTTTGCCCTCGTGTCCCAGGCAATAAAAACATGCATTTTAAGTGTGTCAAAAAGTTTATATCGCCTGCTTTCAGTGCTTAACTTTGTTAATTATGGAGCCGAATTTTTACAGCGAAGCTGTTATGTGCTAGAATCTCGAAAAAAATGCGTCCATTAGTTAAAGTCTCGGGTTTAAAACTATGCTCAATTTACACCAGCTAGCCTGCACCCTCACCATTGCTCCATTGTTTAAATAATGCTTCTTAGTTTCGATTGGTCGTGGCAAGTATAAATAAAACGAGGGGGCAACCCGCGTGAGTCAGCCTTCCTTGGCAATACTAAATATTGAGGTTCTGATCCCTTGTTTTTAACTACACTCAACGACTTATTTCAGCTAAGAGTGCGCTGTGACGAGGCTGATGGCAGAACGCGCCAATCTAACTTTCTTGCCTTTCGCCTCCGTGACGCTGATAAAGAGACTGCAACTCAATCGAAAAAAAAAAAAAGAAAACTCTCCGCGAGGTGTGCCTCAAAGCATTGGGTTTAGAACTTGACCATACGGGACCATAAGAAAATGATCACTTCAGTCCCTAAGAATTAAATAACGACAATTAAACAACGAAGTCGTGTACGTGTCTTCATTGCAATCATATGTAAATTGTATGGGTGTCGTGTAGTTGTCGTAAAGATAACAGCTTCGCTGGTCCTCCATCTTCACGTGAAGTGAATGGGCTCTATAGTTATTGATCAGAGGTGCAAGTTAGTAATAAGAAAAATATCGGCGTCTTTTGTTTATTGTTTTTGAACGCACCTGGTATGGCTTGCACCGAAATAATGAAGCCATCGCTGCGGACCCACGAGGTGACGATGACGTACTCTCTGACGTAGTTGGGCACGTGACATCTAAGGACGCCGGTGTTCATGCGGATGACGAAGTCGTCGTAGACTCGAATCTCGTACTGCTGCTGAACCACTGCGAAAAAAAAAGGACGAATATTCAACGTTTCAATATTTTGAACTCTAAAATATAAGCATCGCAACATTTTGCACTCTCAGATTTGCATAAACAATGCCCTTTTTTATTTTTTTTTTGTAATTTGGCGTGCGTGAGAACGCACTGTGTCAAGTGATAAAATACTTGCGTTTTTGTGGGCGTTAATTATTTCTGAGGGCTGCGGGCCGCCAGAGCATTCCACTGTAAACATTAAATCACCTGGCGTTTATCTTAACAGAAAACACGTTTTCGACTTCACAAAGGCATCAAGATTATAATCATCATCCTCATCATCATTATTATTGATGCTAATTTTCTAAGGCTGGAAAAGGGATCAAGGATTGTCTTGATAGGGACGAATGCGGCATTATAGCCAGCCATCGTTTGACAAGAAAATATGCGATAGACTATTGAAAAAAATGAAAACTACCGTATTTTCATATATCAGTCAGTTGTGCTGGGCAACAAAACTTTTATAATGTATATGTTTTTTTTTAAAGTAATGCCGAACATTTCAAGCTAAAAACCTCAAACCGCCAGGGCAACACAAAGTTAAAACATATTTTTTTGTGTTCGCGGGTACGATGTTGCGACATTTTTGGACAAAAACCGGTGCTCGGAATGAGACGTGTGTAGCGTAGAGTCTACGCGGAGGTTTTCGTGTTTCCAAGTGAGCTGAGCTTAGGCAACCTGTTCGAGGGCCTTGTTACAACAACTGGTCACTCCTCGACAAGTTTCATCCCTATTAATCCTGTACCGCATTCAGGGAGAACTGGGTAAATTGTTTTTAACTAAAACCGAATTTCTAAACGGCTTGTTGCTTTGGTTTTTTTAAAGATTAATGTCCAGTGAACTGAAGCCGGAAAGCTGTGTGTGCAGGACTCGTCTCTTTCGCCTCTGGAAATGCCATGGCCCGTGTTTTGTGACAATATAGAATGATAGCTTGTCCTGCGTTAGTGTCTTGGAATGTTACAAATAGTAAGTTGTATTATCACTGTCATATTTTATGGCCAGGTGAATTATGCACTATGATATCATATATTAAACCCTGAGAAACGTACGATGTTTTGTAACCAGGCCACCTTCACGTTTTTTTCTTTCCACCTGGCTCATTCACATCACTTCAAACGTTTGAGATCAGTAGTTTTGGTGCAAAGGTTTGCTTTAAGCCACAATGAGGTCTTCGATAAAAGACAAACTCAAAGCATGTCTCTGATATAGAAAACGCAGCACTATTTAGTTGTTTACGAGAGCGAAAACAAAATACCTGCAGAAAAAGTGGCGAAACACCAAGAAATATACTTGCCATCGAGTGCCGTGTAAATTATTCGATAACCATACTGTCGTTTATTCCACAAGCGTATTACCGCCTGATATCAAAAGCAACGGCAGCAATTGTTTTATATCAGGCCACTTCTCGATTCAAATCGCGACCGGTTCCTAATAGACTCTCTTCAAAAGTTCATCAAGCAACATTGGCGGTCGCTATGCGGAGCGCAAGTTCGTCTGCTTCTTTTGCAAGGGTTGTGGTGACATCAGAACGCCAAGTTCTGGTTGGTTCTAATTGAAGGATAGTGGGTAGATCACAAGGCAGCTTGTTTTGTGGTCTACCCACTATCTTTCCATCAGAGCCAATCAGAATTCGGCGTTGTGACGTCATCACAACACCAGCAAAAGAAGCAGACGAACTTGCGCTTCGCATTGCCTGGACATGAAGCGCCTGTCTCGATCCAAGCCCTTGTCGTACGCTGACGCGGCGCTCGTTTTCAATACGTGCTCACATTATATGGGACAAAGCAATGGCGGACAGGCGTTGGAGCGAGCTTTCGAAAATGGTCTATTGTGGCTGGTTTTCTATCCGCGATTCAGCCAACTACAATATACATCAGTGACCATCATTCCCCCCTTCCCATCGCCATTGATGATTCCCTCAATTTCCCGTCGTGCGTTTCGAGCCGGTGGCGAACGTGAGAACATCGTGCGCCCACAATCCTGAAAGGACAGCACTCAGCAAGGGCGATACGGCAAGCGAAAGTGCCAAAATTCGTCTGTGGCACGCGGGAACGCACGTCAATCAAAGTGCAACACAGCGAACACGCAAGGAATGAGCGGTGACAGGGCAGATAAGCACCGGTCATCACTGATTAATGTCTGGGGTAAACAAAAGCCCGTGGGCGCTTTCGACGGGTATATAAACGCATAAGGTGCGCAAGGACCAAGCCAACTTTAACGCCGTATTGTCCCTGACGGCATATTGACAGCAAAAGAAGCGCAGGACGTTGTGACTCTCGAAAAGCTTATTATCGGTTGACATCCAATGAGAGATCAGAATCAGCCATTAATAATCACCGAGGTACGAATCACAAAGCGAGAAGCTTTAAGCCAATAATTGGTGTCCCGTTTAATAGATCAGTTGGTATACAGACCGAACACAAGATTAAAATCTCAATCCTTGCAGAGTGCTTGGGCGTCGATCCCGGATCGATACCACGGCTAAGAACTCATTACCTGAAGTTCCTCCTCCTACACTGGGTTTAATTCCAGTATTCAAAACCAAAGACTGTCATCACGGACATCACGAGGGCTCAAAACCAGGTGGCGGTCGGCTCCCCCAGTACTGGTTCGCAAAACAAGAGGCCGAACCCACGAGTCTATCTCACGTTACAACCAAACAAAGTGCGCACGATAAAAGCGTTAAAAACACAAGTGGGTATTTCACAACTAAATAATTGTAGGTCTTCCGTATCTGACAATATAAATAACTTACGAAAGTCATAGTTAAGTTTTTTTAGCAATACAAAATGTATATATATATATATATATATATATATATATATATATATATATATATATATATATATATATATATATATATATATATATTAATGCTGGCTTTTGGTACACAGGCTATACAGAGTTACGAGAACATCATCCTTGTCTGTATGCTCCTGTCACATCGTTTCATAGAAACATGACCGCACATATTCATCATAAGTCATCGGATTACAAGATAATGTCGTGTTATACATTAAGTCAACTTGGCAGATTATTTCCACTAGCCATGCTGAAAACATGAGATGTGCCCTCAACCTTCAATTTAACACTATGCTGAGTAGCTAAATCAAGTTAACAACGAATGAACAGATGTTAAAATTTAGAGGAAAATACCTGAACAATGTTCATTGGTAGGTGAATGAAGGTCTGAACCCTTCGAATCGGGCAGTAATTGACAGCTCCTAGAAGAGGGAGAGTAACTTGACGCCAGCGCCGCTGTTATGGGGGCGCCGTAAGCCAGTGATCGATGACGTGGCGCTTTTTTGACAACTTTAGGAACTAACTGACGGCACTGTGCGCCTAAAACTAGCTTCCCTCGTGCCCACACAACCACGGATGCCAGATGTCTTTCTGTAAAGGACCCTACGGCTTGCTCCTGAAACACTGTCCGCAACGCTCTGAAGGTGGTCACTAGGGGAGGAAGAATTGTGCCTTCCGGCTGAGCCCCATATGTACGCATTAATGCATACACAAAGGCTTTTATCTATTTACAATTAGCTTTTTTTTAACTTGTCGCGTTTTTGTTTACACTTAACCATCGAATGTAAACATATCTCAAGGAAGAGAAATGTACGTACGCGCGGTTTAGTGCCCTAAAGTATACAGCCTCTCATTTTGGTAATATTACCGGCATAAAACAGCCCTTATATAACTTAGGATGTTATCTTTTTTTTTTTGTTTCTTTGGACTGTACATCCCACTTTTTTTTTCTGAATTTAGATTTTGAATTTACATATAAATTGTTTTCAAGTTCATACTTTTGCCAGACTAATGTCACTAAAGATTTTCCTGTTCCAACTCTTCTCAGTTCTACGTCTACGAGCAAAAACTTCGACCGGTCTATACAGACAAACTATAAATTAAAATTTTTCAGTTTGCACCGTGTTTTCCACCAAGACATTCCCCATTTCCCAAACGCCGTCTACTTCCCAAGAAAAAAAAATAGTCTAAAAATCAATACGCCCCAGGAACGACAGAGCTCTAGGGAAAAAAAAAAATGTATGTCTCCACATCATCACTGCGGTCGTCAAGCTTCGGCACGCCCGCAATCCATGTTGGGGACAACTCGGAATCGAAGAAAAATCGAAAGCTTCCCCCAAACACGTCGCGCCCAAGAAATCTCCCGCATTTTCTTCCGACTTTCAAACACACACAACATATACAGACACCTAAAGAAACACACGCCAAAACAAACGCCCTACACGCTAGCCGATATTCGGGGGCTCCTTTCATTTAGCCACGCTTTGGCCGAAAGAAAGCCATCACTCTTCATTGCTAGAGGGGGACAGCGACGCCGTGCAGACCGCTGCGATGGCGTCGGCGTCCCAGGTGTACCATAGCCACCCTACCCGAAAAGGCCGACTTGGCTCGACGTCCAAATAAAGTTCCTGTCTCTGCGATAGACTTGCTACCCCGGTTTACGACCCTATAAATCTCGCGGCATAAGGGGAACAACGCTCCGTTGGCCCGCCTAGTCAAAGCCCTGCCTCGTACAGACAACAACTGCGACATTGCGCGTGCTTGTTTTCTTCCCTCGGTGACCGAGAACCAAACGGTACAAGGGACAGGATTATGTCGAACCGTGGCCTACGACGAACGTAGCGATGAACAGGGCCTTGCTTGTGGAGGTCTCGAGGTTGCGTGCGGCCCGAAAGAAGATATTAATATAGGGTTCGATTTTTACGGAGTGATTGTCGTGCGGCGTGACACAAACACACTTGCTTATGCCCTTCATTTCACCTGAGGTCCGAACGTAGACGAGGCTACATGCCAATGTCGCCGATCAAAGTGAGCAAAAGCACAACGTCATGGTGCGCTTCATATGTTTCTACGTGATCTATCATCGCTAAAAGGATCGTCTGGGGTTTGCCTTCT